AGTGGCTTGTTTTAACCAGGGTCAGTGGCTTTTTTTAACCATGGACAGTGGCTTGTTTTAACCAGGGTCAGTGGCTTGTTTAACCATGGACAGTGGCTTGTTTTAACCCGGATTAGTAACTTGTTTTAACTTGTTAGTGGCTTCTTTTAACCAGGGTTAGTGGCTTCTTTTAACCAGGGTTAGTAGCCGAGCAAGGAGGGACGAGGAGCGCACACCTCAAGCAGGGCGTGAGAGCCGCAGCTGGGCGTCTCCTTCCGCCTCTCCTCGCCTCTTCTCAGGCGGCGGCAAGCGCTGGACGTCGGGCGTCCTTCACTCGCGGGAGGCCGAGCTCCGCAGCGGCTGGGTTAGGGACTAAACCGCGCGCTCGCCCTTCTCCGGCGGCCGAGCAGAGGAGAGCCGAGCCGGCACCAAACGAAGCGTTTCTCTCTCTCTCTCTCTTTCTCTCTCTCTCTCTCCGCCTGCCAAGATGCCGCCGCCGCTGCTTTTCCTGTTGCTGCCGCTGTTGCACCTTTGCGGCTGGCCGGTGCGGGACGCGGCGGGGTCGAGGGCAGCGCCGGAGCTGGGCCGAAGGGAAGACGGGGCGGCAGAGCTGAACTTCCAGCTGAGCCTCCGGCCGGCGCGCAAAGTCAGCCCGTTTTTCCTCTCCGTCACCCTCGACTCCAACCTCATCACCGACCCCAAGTACATCACCTTCCTCGGGTAGGTAAGCCAGCGCCCGCGGGCGACAAGCGGGGAGCTCTTACCGACTGACCCACCGCCAGCCTCTCCCGCTCAGCCTCGGGCGCTTCGGAAAGCGGCACCTGACCCAGGACTGCCTGCCTGAGGCGTCGGAGCCCTAAACGCCTGGTTTTGGGGGGGTTATTTTATTTTATTTTTTTTTTGCGGGGCGGGGAAAGCGGTGAAACTCAACTCTGAGGGGGGGGGGGGGGGTAACCGGATAACAGAGTTGGAAGGGACCTTGGAGGTCTTCTAGTCCAACCCCCTGCCCAGGTAGGAAGCCCTGCACCACTTCAGGCAAATGGTTGTCCAACCTCTTCTTAAAAACTTCCAGTGTTGGAGCATTTACAACTTCTGGAGGCAAGTGGTTCCACTGATTAATTGTTCTGTCAGGAAGTTTCTCCTTAGTCCTAGGTTTGCTTCTCTCCTTGCTTAGTTTCCACCCATTGTCCTGCTGTGAGTTTGATCCTAGGTAGAGGCTAATATTTGGAATAGACTCTCCTGCTCTAGGCAGGGGGTTGGACTAGATGACCTCCAAGGTCCCTTCCAACTCTGTTATTCTGTGTTCTATGTCCTGCCTTCAGGGGCTTTGGAGAATAGGTTGACCCCGTCTTCTTTATGGCAGCCTCTTAGATATCGGAAGACTGCTATCATGTCACCCCTATTCCCCTCGTTTTTATGAAACCAGTTTCAGTTCCAGCAACTGTTCTTTTTATGTCTTAGCCTGCGGCCCCACTCATCATCTCTGTCCTTTGTTAAATAGGAGAGCAGGAGTGGTGACGATGGAAATTATGAACGAGTGTATTGCTGGATGCAAGAAGGTTAGATATGGGGTGTTATGTGAACCCACTGAGAGTAAAGCAGAGCTTGTTTAAATATTTTGCGCTCCGTGGGCTATTTCAACCGTGCTACCTTCCACTGGTGTGG